TATTGATAAGAAGGCTTATTACAAACTAATAAATCAAATGTTTACAACAGAAGCGGAGGGAAGGCCCTCATTGTTTAACGTGGGTTCCTCGGTGGCGATAGGATGCCTCGCTCGGTGCTCGTGCCGAGTCTGCTCCCCTTGGACGATCCGATCGAAGTTGCTGCCGGAGCCGGAGCTTCGGTTCTCAAATGAGGGAGCCTTTGGCAAAGGTCCAGGTTCAACCTTTGGGAGATTAGCCAGCAGAATATGCAACGGCCAATCCCCCTTCTTCATGCTGCTGAAGATGGGTTTTAACAGGCAAGGGATGGCATGGGCTATCCCTTGATTCATGGGATTTGACCACTAATAGAGGTGAGGGAGATAGCTTGACTGCTCCTTGAATTATGGGATGTGACCACACGTTGTTCGGAGACGTCCTGCTGTTCATTCGTACCGTCAATGGTCATTCGAAGAGCTGTGCTCTGCATCACGCTACATAGGAGTGGGAAAGCCCCTCCTCGTATGCGTGACAACGGCTGTCAGATGCTTGCGTGGATCTGACCAACCACCGAGCGTTGGCGGCTCTCGTCCCTTCACCTGGACAACTGAGGTGAGCCGCATTTATGAGGGTGCAGGCTGTTTCGGCGCCTGTCCGCTCATTCGTACTGTGGACGGCCATCTGACGGGCCTGGAGTATTGTGCCCTCTCCCTTGATTTGTGGGATTTGACCATTGATGTAACTGTTCCCATACTCCAAGTGGGCAGTTGACAGTGAGCTGGCGAGTCTGCAGCTTGGGTCTGCAGGCGAGCTTAGGACTGCAGGCAGACTTGGGTCTACAGGCGAGCTTGCAGGCGAGCTGCGTCTACAGGCGAGCAGGCGAGCTTGCAGGCGAGCTGAGTCTGCAGGCGGATTTGAGACTGCAGGCGAATTTCGAGCTGCAGGCGAGCAGGCAGACTTGGGTCTGCAGGCGGATTCGAGCTGCAGGCGAGCTGCTGAGCATGGATTGAAGAATAAGCCGTAACTTTCAAACCGTAAGTCGGAATTGGACGAGTTATATATGAAAATCGCCTATCTCGACGAGATGGAGTCATCTGAACCGAGCCGAAGGCTTCGGTTCGCTTCCTCCATTTCGCCAAATTCCTTACGGTTTGGGAGATATCTGCGTTTTCCCCTCTTTTGCTATTTCGGGTGAGGTTTTAGCAGTTTTGTTCTGAACTTCTCTGATAAGGATTTAAAGGCAATTTTTATTGCCTACAGGCTCTAAAGTAGATAACTGGATTAGCTAGTCAGAGGGTGATCACGACGAAGAGGACACACCCGCTTCTCCTCAACTGGCTCCCGCTCCTGAGGCTAGTTCTGTGCTTCTTACTCCTACTCCGGATCCAAGTCGATCTCCATGAGAGCTTCATGTATCTGTTCTTTTTATTTTTGTCGATGTAAATATTTTTTTGATATACGAATAAAAAGTTAGATTTTTGCCTTCTTAATTTTTGTATCTTTCTTGGTTGCATTAGTCTCATGCTTTGATTGAGTCCATATTTAATATAGAGTCGAGGCAACTTGGCCACATACGGTGAATAGGGTAACTCGACCGCATACCTTCAAGTAGCAGTTGGTTTTTTAGGTTAGGATGACTCGGGTGCGTGCATTGGGTTTGCGCGTAATG